TGGCTGGGGGGGAGCCCTGCTGTAAGTGCTGGGTGGTGCTCTGCCTGGTGCAGAGGTGTTACCGCCCCAGGTGCTGGTGCTGGTGCTGCTCCGCCCGGGCGCGTCCTTTACCGTGCTGAGTGGGTGCTGCTGTTGCCTGCGGTGGCTGCATCCTGGCTAGGGCTTTGTTCCTGCCTCTGCCTGGATGGTTCTGGGGAGCTCTGTGCTGCCCTGGGCCCCGCTAGCTGAATGAAGCCTCAAGGCCACGGGCTGCATGGGGGCCTGAGGGAGGCTGTGCACCAGAGCTAGGGAGCTCTCCCTGTGGCTGCAGCTGTCTGCCTTGGGCCTGGCCAGCTGGACTCCCTGCCTTGGCTTGGGCCCAGCCTTCCATGATGGGGTGGGTGCTCCGGGTGGGCTGTCTTGCTGCTCCCTGCGTGGGGGCCAGGGGCTGCTGGAGAGCAGGTCCCACCCATGGCCCTGGGGCTTCCCGAGGGGCTTGGAGCCCTGCACCATTCCCACTGCTCTTGGCGTGCGTGCAAAGGTCTTGTCCCCTGGGGCAGCGCAGCACTGGGATTTGCATAACAGTGCGCAGCACCCCTCTGCTTTGCATCACAATGAGCTCCTGCACCAGAGCAGCTGCCCGCTTGAAAAAGAACTGTGGGCTCTGGTGCGGAGCGGAGCTGGGCCCTGTGCACAGCTGGCTGGACGGGCTGGGGCCAGCTCTTGCAGCAGTGCACGGGAGGCCTAATTGTGGGCTGTGCTCTCCCCACCCCCACGGGCAAGGAGTGCTCCTGCCCCAGCACCCTCACCCTGCGCACCTGAGACCAGAGCAGCAGCTGGCTGGAGGCAGGAGTGCGGGGTCATGGTCACCCACGGTGCCAGCTCTGCTCTGCTTGTGCTCTCGCTGCGGCTTGTGCAGGTTGCTGCGGGGCTGCCTGAGCCCCTGGGGGCATGGGGCAATGGGAGATGCTCCAGTGCCTGGAGAAGTGTCAGGGGCTGCTGTTGGGGGTGGGGGGTGGTGTGTGTAAAGGGCCTTGAAGTGACAATGGCAGTGACTGGCCCAGGAAATGCAGGAGCTGGTGTGCAGCTGGGCTTGTTGAGGCTTGGCCATAGTCTGGGTGGGAGCAGGCGGGGGAGGCTGATGTAGGGCAGAGGCATAAGCAGGGGCCGCGGGGGTGTTGGGCACAGGCAGGGCAGGTCATGCGGGCTGTGACCTCAACATGGGCAGGGGGGCCTGGACCAGAGGCAGGTCTGTGCCCTTCCCCTGCAGGGGCTGGCGTTGGGAAGGGTAGGAGCCAACAGAGGCAGCATGGGGTGAAGAGCTGAGTGGGGCAGGGATTCACCTGGGATGGGCCCAGGATGTGGTGGAGCAGCAGAGCCGTGGGGCACAGGGGAAGGCACAGGATGCCCAGGCCTGGGACCCACATCCGCTGTCCTGCCTGGGCAGCTCCAGCGAGGCTGCACGTGGCCACCGAGCGTGCACGGGAGGCCGTGGCAGGAGCTCCTCTGGGCAGGGCCCCTCTGCTGTGCCTTTGGCAGAGGCTTGCGCTGACTCTGGTCGTGGCGCCTGCCTGGGGCCCTGTTGCACAGAGGGAGAGTGTGTGACCCACCTGCCTGCTGCACAGAGCCTGGCAGTGGCCCAGGGGCTCGGGGTTAATCCCGAATCCGCATCCTGGCAGACCCGTGGGCTCTGGCCGGCGGGGCAGGGCCCCTTTGCTGTGCACTTCCGGCCCCAGGCAGGGGCTGCGTGACTGGGCCTGGTCTGCGCTGGGGGCGGCTGCTCCGGCTCCCCTGGGCCCTGCCCGCAGGCTCTGGGGGTGCGCGGCTGCGTTTGCCATCCCGGTGCCTGTGCGATGTCTCTTGACCCTCCCGGCTCCTGGACCCTGCCCTGCTCATGCTCCCCATGGGCCTCAGGCCTTGCCGCGAGGCGCTGCTGGGGCCCAGCGTCTCCGTGGGGAGCGGAGGAAGGCGCTTGGGGCATTGGGCAGTGAGGGCCAGGGCTGCTGCTGGGCCTCCACAGGGTTCATGCTGCTTCCCCCGGGGGCTGGCAGTGCTGCAGAGGTAGCACCGTGACCTGTCCCGGGCTCCGTCTGGCAAACCCCGCTATGCCGCAAGCCCCAGCCACATGCACCATAAAGCCACTGGCAGCCAGGGAACAACGGGGTGGTGGGGGCTCGGGTCCCACAGCCAGGCAGCGAGTGCCCGGCACTTCTCCCTGGCCCAGAGCCTCAGGCTGTCCCTGCAGGTGAGGGGCGCCAGACCCAGAGAGCCATGTCCCAGCCCCTCTGCCTTCTGCTGCTGCACTCCTGCCACCGAGCCGTGCGAGGCCCTGGCCACCTGGCGCGCAGGGTTGCTCCTAAGGGCATGTCCCACCCCTACCCGATCCTCGGCCTGTGAGCACCTGGGCTGCAGGGCACGGGCCAGGGCCAGGTGGCTCTGGCACTGCTGGCTTGCAGCCAGCACAGCTGGGCAGGACTTTGCCCCCTGCCCGCAGCGCTGAGGTGGCACTGGAGCCTGTGGTGACGTGTCCCTGGGGCCATGTCTGAGGCGCCCTCCGTCCTGTGCACAAAGAGGGCCCTGTTTGCACAGCCCGGAGCGTGGAGCTGCTTCTGGGCAAGGGCGGTGCAGGCAGTGGCGGGGAAGCTCCAGAGCCGGGCACAGCCCAGGCCCAGCTCCCCTGCCCCTGCAGGCACCCTGCTCCCGCTGCCTCCCAGGCTCTGGCTCAGCTCCTGCCTCTGCCCCAGGGACCCCTGCACAGAGCATGGCCATTTAAACGGGCCATTTCTGCCTGGACAGCCCAGCGCAGGGAAGAGGCTGGCTGGAGAGATGCTGCAGTGCTGGGCCCTTGGCAGGGGTGGGCTGGCCCCCGCTGCGGTTCTTGGCAGGGAGCAGCCCAGCCTGCGGCCAACGCTCCTGCTCAGGCCACTTCCGGGCCCGGGCAGCTGTTCAACGGCTCTGGCATCAGGGTCTGTGTCAGCCCCTCTGCAGCGCATCCTTGTCCTGCCCGGAGCCGCTTGTCCCAGGGCCCCAGAAAGGACTGGCCACTGCCCGCTCTGTGCTGCTGGGCTGGAGGGGCTGCAGCCTCGCCCTGCCGCTGGCCAGCTCCCCCACCCACCACCCTCCAGGGGGGCTGCCTGGGTTGCTGCAGCTTCCAACGGCCCATCTGTTATTGCACCTAACGGCGCTGTGTGGGGAAATCCAGCTGTGGTCTGGGCGCTCGCTGCTTGAGCAACCCGCAAGTCAGAAGGCAGCAGCCAGCAGGAGCCAACCAGCCTGGCACAGGCAGGCTCCGGGCACAGCAGAGTCGAGTGGGGCCCCTTGCACCCCAGGGCTGCCGGGGGGGCCAACACAGGGGCACAAGGCAGAGCAGGACGGGGAGGCTTGGGGCCGGGTGGGCTTCCTGGAGGCAGCTGAGACACAGACCCGCAGGAAGCCACTGGAAGCCCAGGACCACCCTGGGCCTCGGGCTGCTGCCGAGGTGCCAGTGACCTCTTGCCTTGCCCTAGCACTCGCCCGTTCCCGACAGCCTGGGTGCAAGGCTGAGCCTTGCAGTGTGGTGCCCAGAGGGGAGCGGCTGTCCCTGCCCGCACAGGGGTCCGGGGTGCAAGGACCTGCAGGAGCAAGGGCTACTGAGCAGGGCAGGGAGGGCAATGGGGGGAGCTGGGATGAAAACGTGGCCAGGGCTGCACCTGCTGCGTTCGAGGAAGGTGAAGGAGGGCTGAGGAGCTGCTGCTCTCCTGCCCCATCACAGGAGCCCGGAGCCCAGGGGGACACCAGGCCAGTCGAGCGGGTGGGCTTGGGGCAGAGGCAGCGAGTCCCCTCGCAGGACATGGGTGCGCTGGGGAGCTCCTTGCCCCAGGACGCTGCCCGTGCACAGGAGACGCTCGCCCCGCCATGCTCAGGAAAGGCAGAGGGGGAATCCCCGGCCTGGGGCTGCTCAGACTGAGATACCACAGGAAGAAAGTGAACGTGCCCCTGAGACCTGAAGTGCAACGGCCGACGGCTGCATTTGCTGATAGTGACTGGCTTGTAGCTCCGCTGGATGCTGCACAAGGGCGCAGGCTGGAGCATGCTCCCCCCTCGGCTCTGGGCCATTTGTTTCTGGCTGCGCCTGGGCAGATGCAGCACAAAGCGCCACGGGCAACGGGCCCCGGATCCTCTGGCCCCGCGGGCACTGCCTGCAGCCGAGGGCCGGGCCCTGGGCATGAGGGCCATGGGTCCGAACGTGAGATGCTGCTGGCAGGACACTCCCTGGGGGCAGCCTGCGATGAAGGGCCCCTGTGCGGTGCCGGAGCCCAGCGCTGCTGCTGGCAGAGCGCACATGTGGAAGTTCCCGTCAGAGCCTGCACTAGAGGACCCTCGTTAGGCCGTGGGCAGGGCCCTAAACCCAGGTCTGGGCCCGTGCCCGTATAGGACGGCTACGGTGAGGGAGAACTATTACCCCACATCAGTGTAGACCATGTGAAGGAACACCTTGAGAGGCTGGACACCTTCAAGTCAGCTTGTCCAGACAGTTTACACCCCAGGGTACTTAAGGAGCTGGCAAGCATCGTAGCTTGGCCACTGGCACGGATCTTCGAGAGCTCCTGGCGCTCAGGTGAACTGCCCAAATATTGGAAGAAGGGCAATGTGGTGCCTATCTTCAAGAAAGGAAGGAAAGTAGATCCAGGGAACTACAGGCCCATCAGCCTGACCTCTATCCCGGGGAAGATCTTGGAAAAAATGATCAAAGAGACCATTCGTGACAAACTGGCTGATGGCATCATCCTGAGGGATAGCTAGCATGGGTTTGTTGTAGGTTGGTCTTACCTGACCAATCTCATCTCCTTCTATGACCAGGTGACCTATCACCTGGACAAGGGAGAAGAGATTGATGTCCTATACCTGGACTTTAAAAAAGGCTTTGATCTGGTGTCCCATGACAATCTCATGGAAAAATTGGCAACTGCAGCCTCGGCTG